AGGGGGGAGGGGGGAGGGGGAAGGCGGAGCGCGATCCGCGCGATATCCGCGTGCGCCACCTGAGCGAGGGTTGTCGTCGTCATGGGGAGGGTGAGGGACACGCCTTCGGTGCCCGCAACGCGCTCGGAGGTGGCGGGAATCGATGTCGCGCTGGGAAGCGCGGGTGGGGCGGGGGTCGGGGTCCTGACACATGCCGCGGCCTCCTGGCGCGCGGAGCGCAGATGAGGGGGGTGGTAGGCGTTGCTGAGGTAGCGGGGGTGGTGGGGAGACGGCACGGCGACGAGCGACGAGCAAGAGTGACAAGGTGGTGGTGGGAGGGAAAGCGCAGCGCGGCCGATCACGATGCGAGCGCAACGAGGAGCGGCCGCGCGTGCCAAAAGTGGTGGGAAAGAGAGGGGGAAAAGTGCCCGAGGTCGCTCAGCACGACGGGGGAGAAAGGAATAGTGAGCTGCGCTGTGGAATAGCGCGCAGGGGGCGGTGGCCAGCCGCGCCAGAATGGTGTGGATGTTCGGGGCCACTGAAATCCGTCTTGGGACCGCGCGGATGTCGGTCCGGACGTCTGAGGGGCGTCCTCGTCGTCTTCGATGGCCCCGGAAACACGCCGACAAGACTTTAATGGCGTAAAAAGTATATAGAGCGAAGGGGCAGGGTCTATAGAAAATTAAAGAGCTGTTGAAACCTGGATCTGCCATTAAAACGCTTGACAAACAGGGAAACTCCTCAATTCTGCTCTTCAAAACGCGGTGTCTACGCTCCTGCGTTATATCTAAGATGAAGAATATTACAGACTGTACATGCCAAGCTGGAGAACAAGCTTCCGTATCCGTCGCAGTTTATTTGGCGTCGATCCGCCAAGAATCGGACGAGATAGAGCTCAAAAGTCTTGTTTTCGAGGGGGAAGAGGAGAAATACATTGGTTTGCCCGAAGCTCGTCGTGTTTGAAGCTCAAGTTCCGTGAGCCACAGCCCTCATTTTGCTACAATATTTCATGAGTCCATTCTTTGACATGTATACTACGCTGGTCAAGTCTCACTTGACCGTCTAGTGCTTCTCGGCTTGCGTCCGAGGTCAATGAGTACGACAACGACGAAGGCCGGACCTCGGGCCGAATTGCCGACCAGGTCATCTGCCGCGTCGTGGCCGGGCGATCTTCGCTCTTGACCACCACCACGCCCCCCCCTTCCCGCTACCTCGCCTTCTTTCGAACCCCCCGCCCCCACTCCACCGTCTTTTCCCGACAATACGCGTAAAAACGCGCTTCCCACGCGACAAGCGCGCGTCCGTCGCGCCCACGATCGGCTGCGCAAGCAGCACCCGGAGATGGCCTGCAACATGCGGTAACGCGCCAATGGCCGGGAAAACTGCCGAGGGGGCATAGGAGGCAGCTCGAGGGGCATGCAGGTGCGTAGCTACACCCTGCGCGCTGAAGTCTTCACTAACACGAACATTTTCCTCATTTTTCAACCTTTTTACAGGACGTCGCCTCATGGCGCGTCCAGCGCTATGAGGCGGCGTTTCCATGCGCCCCTCTTTTGTAATCACCCCCCTCCCTCCCTTCTCCCCTGTGCCGAAACGTGTCCCCGTGTCGAGCACGGCCCGTTCGAGTACCCACCGCACTGGCGAATTCGCGGTGCTGGGCTCGGCGCGGGACGCGTAATTCGACATTCCTAGGCCATTGTGGCCTAGGTGGGGCTGAGACCTGCAAGCGCTAGTCCGCGTGCTTGCAAACGCGCCTGCTCCCTATCTCGCGCGCGACCGTGTGACCGCGGTCACACGGCTCTCCCCTCCACCCACCTGCACCGCCTCTCCCTCGCGCGCTCTCCCCCCGCCCTCGCCTTTCGTCTTCCGAAGCCCCCCTCCACGTCAAACCGCCGCGGTCCGCTACAACATACATCGCAGACGCTCGCTCCCGCCACGCGAGTGCGAGCGCGCTCGCGTATCCACCCCCTCCTCATGGCAAGCCGATTGGCAACGCGGGTGGACAACGCTCCTCCGCCACCCTTACTTCTCCCTCCCCCACCCCCGCTGATACGTGCTCGCTCATGCCCACTCGCGCGGGCAGGACGACGCGTGCCGCGCTGGCGAAATTTTTCGCCAGCGCTTTTCGCGCTTTTTTGTCGTTTTATGCGCGTCCCACGCGCCTTTTAGGTACATCGTATATATCTACTATAGTTATATATTCATTTTCATTCATTTCCTGAACGGCGCGACGCGTACAGCGGCGGCGGCGGTGCGCGCGAGCGCGAGCGCGACGTGCCCCGATGCGCTGACTAAGCCGCGGCGGCGCGCGCGAGGGCGGCGCATCAGCCGCCGCAGTGCGCGTGGCAACGGCGGCGGCGGCGGAGCGCGCGCGTCGCGCGACGCGTGCTGCGGGAAACCCCGAGCGGCGACGTCGGGGGGTCACCTTCCGCATAAGGCGGCAGCCGGGGGCTCGCCGGCGACGTGCCGGGGGCCTGTGGCTGTGAGGACGGACCTGTCTCGAGATTTGCAAAAGACCTTGGGACAAATGCCAAGGTCTTTTGCAAAAGAGCTACCTCCACAGGTGATGTGCACTCATGACCTCTTCGTGCGGACCTTACAAAAAGTAAGTCACTGAGTGCGAGGTAATGCAACCTGCATACCATGAATTATCTGTGGATACCCGGCCTCTGGATGACCGCGATCGCAGAACTCCTTATGGATTCTCCAATCGGCTTTCTGACACTGAACAGAGCAGTAGCATGCACGCAAGCACATACATCGTTCCACGGTGGTAGGTCGAATGGATGAGAGCGTAGGACACTTTGAACAGTAGTCAGCGTCGGTCGTCAAGCAAGTGGCCTAGCTGTACCGTTTTATTAGCGCATTTCTTCGTATATTTGGCGCGCATCAGGGAGATACGTCGGAGGATGGTCGCACCCACTACCGGAGGACATGCGTCCAAGCATCGACTACCCAAGAGGCCTTCGAAATTGTTTCTATACATCGCCCGCGTCACTGACAACACGATAGATCGCTCGCCAATGTGTATTAGAAGCTCCCGAAGAACGCTAGATTTGTCTGTGAGAGGCTGCGACCTCGCCAGGTAGGCAAATGCATCGAGTATGCCGTCGTTGAGAGCCCACACAACAGAGCGGCTATCACTGGCGGTGTTCCAGATACTCAACAGAACAGCGCAGGCCTCTTCAGAGGCACTCCTAGCAGTGCTCCCAGGCATTCTGACGAGTCGCCGAGTTACGTCGACCAGAGATCGGACGACGTCTCGTGCATGACACGGCAGAGGAGCCACTTGATAGGCGATGAACTCTACCAGAATCAGATGTTCCCGTACGGTTATGACGCTTAATGATGCAGCCGGCTCGTCGCCGCGCAGAGACAGTAAATCGAGAACACATCCGATAGCCTGCCTGTGAAAGTATCAGACCAGATGCACAGCGACACAGTCAATACACACCCACCTGAAGAGATCATTGGGTCGATGATCAACGGCAGCAAGGACTTGACGGGCAGCGACCTCGTCCAGTCTTTCTTGACGGGAATCCGTCAAGGCGGTTTGCAGAGCAGCACCTAACCCCGCGTGCCATTCCACGAGCGTCTCAAGGTCGGAAGAAGCGTAGGACGGGCGCCGAAGCCATAGAGCTACAACGACGCGATAGATGTGTGGCGTCTCCTCCATGCGACTGGGTATGTATTTCTTGAGTCCAATGACGGACAAGATGGCCTCCGACAGATAGAGTGTCGCGGTCCTGTCGTTTTGGCTGCGACCGGCCGTCGAATCCAAATAGTTCAAGGAAGACACCACATCAGGCCATACGTCCCGAACACAGTTTATGACATGGAAGAAAAGAAGCCTTTCTTCTATCTTCAGAGCTGCCGGATCTGCGCTGCCGCCACTCTGACCAAGGGAGAGCAACGATCGCAGAGCTTCCAAAGCGTCAAAGGGCGCGACTGCAGAGACAGTATCTGTAACGCCGAGCGCAGGCAGAGAGGTGCTAGCACTGAACCCCGCAAGGAATTGGGGGACAGCGTCCATCAATGTGCGCAAGAGGTTCAGCTTGCGCATGGAGCGAGTCGGTGCTATGACGAATGCTTGCAGCCTTAGCTGGAGACTTTGCAGAGACATATCTAGCGCCATCTAGAAAACTTCCTCAGTCTGAGAACGAAGCGGGAAAGAGAAGGCATACCAGAAAGCGTCGAGCAAGGAGGTGAAAGAAGGCGAGTACAAAGGAAGGCGCATTTGAGGGCGGCCACGTGACCAAAAGGTCATGAGATGTGACAGGAAAGGCACGCATTAACCTCAACCAGATAGGACGAAAAATTGGAATGGCTACTTGGCTATCTTCGAGTATTGGTCACGCACACTTGCAAGACGTCGAAACAGGCATAATCACGATGTCATTCTCATCCGTACGTGATCGATTTGAATGCAGAAGGGCTCCCCTAAACGGTGCTTGAGCGCATGGATGGGATTGAACGACCTGCCCATGTGTGCGCACAATCGGCCAGAATTTTTGGTGCAGATTGAACGAGGTCTATGAGGGTGCATTTGATTGAGCCTGTTGGCAAGGTACAAGAAGGAATATACCTCTGTACGGAGAAGATACAAATGTGGTCATTGCGACATGGCTGATGCACAGGGGCAAGAAAACAAAAGGAACGACTAAAAAAGAATCAGTCGACAGACACCGCGTCGCGGAAAATGGCGATGTATCACCGCTTGAGCAAAACGCAGCCCACTCTCGCCCCGCGACAGGTAGATGCCGCCGTCCACGACCCGCTGAGCAGTAGTAGAGGTTTGTCCAAAGATGTACGGCGCGGAAGGGAGGCGTAGGACGCCATCTTGCCTAGAGCGAGTTAAGGGAAGGGAAGTCCCGCCGAGCCGACGACCGCCGTCGACCAGGCTACTGAGGTTCAAAATCATCAGCCTCGCGCTCTGCGCACGCAGTCGAGAACGCACCGAAGCCCACCATCCCTCACCACCCCTCTCGATATCCGCGTCCTCGCTTGTCGAGCAAAGGTGTCCATCGACGGCAACTTGAGGCTGAATACCGGCGGATTGCGCTCGCTGCGGAAGCCGCATTCCCTGAGCCCAGAGATCATCGAAGAGGAGATAGATGTGCTCACCGTATCCCTGCAAACACACCATGTAGCGGGCTCGATCACGGGGTGACCATAGCAAGCCGTAGATCACTTCCGTCGGCTCAGTAGCTATAGGTCGCACTTGATCCCGCCGCGGAAGCATTAAGCATGAGTAGAGCGGGGTTTTCGAGATGTACGGTCTTCACTGTGAGGGAGTACTACACATAGCATCGCATAGCTACTAACTGTATTACATGACTACTGTACAAGAGCCCGGAGCTCTGCGTAGACACGCGTCACACTTAGCGGGCCGCCGGGCCGGAAAGAATTCATTCTACTTCTTGATCTCTTACCGTCGTGATGACCGACCGCTAGCTCCTTCGCGTCCCGCTCAGCTCGCATAGCTGTAGCCCCTTGCCCGGGTACGGCCGCTCGCCTCGTACGGCGCCCTTGGCAGGGATACGCGCCCGCTGTCGGCAGCGACACCGACCCCTTGGCAGGGATACGCGCCCGCCCGCGCGATACCGCGGCCTAGCTCAGGAGGAGCCGTTAGCCGACGCAAGGCTACTCATCTTCACGCGGTCTCCTCGTAGCGAGATCGCCTAGGTGCGTGTCCCGCGCCTTCTTATTACTAACTACGGCGCAGAACACGATTCCGCCGACCTCTACCGAGGTTCCCACTACCTCGTACCCTTTAGACCTAAACGGACGCTCTCACAATGGTGGCATGACCGCGGAGGTCTATCGATGGGATTCTGAGCCCTAATCGGGCCTGTTGTGCCCCCGGGCCTACGAAATCGATATATTCTGGGGGGCGAATGACAGCTCCTTAGCATACTACGTCGCGATCGCCCAACGCGCGACCCTACACCTCCCCCGACCCTCATCATTCCCTCCTCTACGCGCCCTCAAACTATGTCTGACTCGACTAGGCCTACGCTGCCTGGTGTCGCGGGCGGTAGCGGGCCTTCGCGACCCAGCGGCTCCGAGCCTGCTGTTCCCAAGCGTAACAGCTCGAGGATGCCGTCGAGCGCGTCGCCAGCCCAGACCCGCTCGAGCACCCGAGGCTCGAATAAGCCTTCGCAGACGCCCGGGCAGACTACAAGAGGAGGGGGTACAGGTAGTGGTACGTCTCGAGGAGGAGGTACCTCGACGCCGATGGGCTCCGCGCTCAAGAAAACCGCCCCCGTCACTGAGCCGCCCGTGCCCGCGCCGGACAGCGCGATCAAGCAAGCTCTCGAGTCGACTACCGAGTCGACCTCCCGCTCAGCTATCTCTGAGCCGCCTACCACAATCGAGCCAGTTCCCCACTCTCCGGGACACACCTCTCAGGTCGCGGGCAAGGTCGTGTCAGCTCCTGGCACGCCTACCCCTACGGTTCGTGTACCAGCGGACCCCAGTCGTTCAGGCAATACCCCTCCCGACGATCAGCGAGAGGACGTGAAAGCCAAGAGCGGCGGTGAGACCACGGTGTCGTTCGCGGACGCAGAGAAATCAGGAGCCGGCGCGCCTGAAGGGGAGAAGGCCGCCCTCCCGAGCTCTTCAACTACGCGGCCGCGAACGCCTTCTCCCCGCCCTACCGATCGCCGCTCCCCTCCGACTCGCATACCATCTCCTACCCCGTCCTTATCGTCTCTGGCGCGAGCGCCGTCCGCAGCGAGCTCAAGCGGAGGTAGCTCCACGCTACGTGGTCTCAAGAACTTCCTTACGACGAACTCTAACCTCCTGCGCCCCGAGTCGTTTGAGTCGGCTACTACCGCCCTGGCGAGTCGTCGAGACAAAGGGAAGGGACGTGCAGAACCTCTGCCTCCGACCGAGGAAACGCGAGCCTCCCCTCCGCGGGATGAGCCTACGACAGTCCCAGTACCAGCGGTGGCTGACGACGAGCCGATTACCGTGAAAACCAAGGACGACCCATTCGACGAGCGCTCCAGCCGCATCTTCCGCACGCGAGCCATGAAATGGAATGGCCTACGTAACGAACCCTTGCACGTATCTGTGAGGCGTTACCACAATGAGCCCCGCTTCGACGTCTTCGCCAAGTTAGGGCTGGAAGACGTACCCACCGAGCTCCCCGTTGAGCTGCGTTTGATCAAGGATGCGTACATTCGGTTCACGATGCCGCATAGGGAGCTCGTATGGGAAGGGTCGTTGCAGGAGGAATTGCTCAAGATCGCCCGGCTCGAGATCACTCGCTCGCAGGTTGAGAAAATGGACTACTACGACGAGGAGAGCAGCGACGACGGGTCGAGCTCCAGTGAAGAGGACGAAGGTCGCGAGCCGGTCGAAAGGGGGAAGCCCTGGTATTCTCTGTCAGCTGCCCTACTGGATCGTCTAGGCCACGCCGTCCTTGCGACCGAACAGATTATCAACGCCCTGGCCCTCGCGGTGGACTACGATAGCACGGAGACGCAGTTCCACTACGACCGGGACTTTAAGAAGCTTCGGCTGCTGGAAGTCGGCAAGGGCCGGGCTCAAGTTGTCTCAGTCGCCGCGGTGCTGTGCGCCCGCGCTACTTCGGCCAGGAATCATATTGCGGCATTCTTTGGCGTACTGCAGGCAGCGTCGAGGGACGGACCTCCCGACTCCGACCTCGCGGTTTCTACGGACATCGTCTCTACTGTTACCGAGCTGCGTCGCCGTGAAGGGAAGGAACCCTTGTCGGCGGAGCTAGCCAAGTACTACGCGCGACCCGCCTACGCGAGAGCTATCGCTAAGGTAGCGCCTAAATATGCGGATCACCTGCGCGACAACCTGAGGGCCGGGCGTGTAGACGTGCCCGACATCGTAGCACGCACCTATAGCCTGCCGGCGTATACGACAGCCGATATTCGGGAAGCCATGGGGAGGAAGGCCGACGAGAACAAGATTCACTACCGCACCGGACTCCTCAGATTCGATAAAGGTTCGGGTGTTTCCAAGCTGGCAAGGGATCCTCCGCCCGCCCCGGTTGAGCGAGTCGAGGAGGAAGGAAGGACCGCCGAGAATAGGGTTGTTGCCATGACGAACAGGACTGAGGATCGGCCTGCCCGAGTTCAAGAGCGCCCGACGTCCAAGACCGCGAAACCCAGTCAAAGAGAGGAGAGAGAGCGCAGGCAGCGGCGTGAATACGAGGCGCTCAGCAAGCTGGGGGGCGCGCCGGGCACGAGTTTGCCCGTACTTCCAGGCGGGCCCTTGTCAGCGGCAGTTCTGTCGAAGAATGTCCCCTCGCGAGCCTCGAGTCTAGCGCCCGAGGACAGTGTCAGCCAAGTAGAGGTTGGGGGGCCATCGATCGTGCGTCCAAACGCTCCCGCTACAGCTGCGCCGACGGCCACAGCTAGAAGCGGCTCGCGTCGAGTCCCTATTCATGACGACGAGAACGCCCTCGATCGTCTGCTAGACAACGTCGCGCGAGGTCGTAGCGTCTTCGACCCGCCTGTGCATGACCCCCCTCCTCATCACTCTAAGCGCGCTGCTGGAGAGGGAGAAGAGCGTCGCGGTAACAACCGCGCTACCGGGGGAGGAGGCGAGTCGCGCCGCGAAGGTCGAGACGGGGAGCGAGCGTCGTCGCGCAACCCTCCTCCTAGGCGGCCAACATCGCCTGCCGCAGGCCCGCCCGGGCGAGGAGGCGGGCAACCCCCGGACGGAGGAGACCCGAGCGGAAGCGACTCGGACGCCGGCAATGGGCGACGAGGCGGTGGACCACCCCGACGCGGCGGAGGCGGAGGTGACCCGGGCGACGATGGTTCGGGAGGAGGAGGAGGCCGTCGTGGAGGTAGAAACCCCCGCGGAGGAGGCGGAGGCGGAGGACCTCCCGGAGGCGATCCTCTTCCTGGCGCTGGTGTGGGCCAATCTGACTCGGACAGCGAGGCAGGGAACGACATCGAGTACAGCGTCAAGACTACGCTGAATCTTTCGGACTTGCCTTCATGGGACGGTCGCGACATCATCACCTATTTCAGCCGTATTACTCGGAAAGCCGCGCTCGGAAAGATGATGCGGCGGCAGATGGCTCGCCTCCTACCGCAGCTATGGACTGGCGAAGCGGAACAGTGGTTCATAGCCCTACCTGTCGAGGATCGTATGGATATGACTCGCAGCCTCGGCGCGCTGCTGCGACGACTTCGCAAGCGTTACCTTACACATACCTGGATTCAGCAGCACACCTACGAGTTCGAGAACATGCGCTTCCGACAAAAGGGTCAAGAAAAGGAGAGCCCGGAAAACTTCATTCGACGTCGTTACCGATTCAGCATATTCCTCTACCCGGATGCCCTTGATGGACCTACGGTAGTCGGACGTTTGCTCACGACGGCCCCGTACAGCTGGAAGACACACATCCATGAATCCTTCGAGAATTGCAACACTGTCGGCAAGCTGATGGACAGAGCGCGAGACCTGCAGCAGGTTCTCCTACAAGCATTCCACGACGCGCTCAAGGACCCGGGATTCCGGCAGTACAATCGCATTGCCTCTCCCGGGTCGACCTTCCGGCGTGGCAGACCCCGAGAGGGTAACCTCGTCGACTACGAGGCCATGCAGGTAGCGACGGAGGAAGTCGACCCGGTCTTGTCGGGCTACGAAGTCGAAGACCCAGCTGAAGAGGAGGCGGAAGCGCTCGTGGCGTCGTCCAGCAGGCCCAAGCCTAATTCGGGGCTGCGAGCCAGAGACGTCCCCGAAACCTCTTGGCCCAAGGGTCGTACGGAGAAGGGGTACAAGTTCGAGCGAGACGATTCTGTCGCCAGCCCCCGACCGCCGAAGGGAGGCTGCTACATCTGTACAAGCCCGAAGCACTACGCGATGGACTGTCCGCATTTCAATCAATGGAAACGACTATACCGCATCAACTTGGTGGATCGGCAGGTGGCATTAGCGACAATTCAGGAGCAGGATAACGAGTACGAAGCTATGTTTACCGAGTGGCTGCAACAGAGCGAGAGTTCCGCGTATGTCGTGTGTGACAGCGATGAGACTTCTACCGTGCCCGCCAGTGACGCTGAGTCGCCGTTCGATTGCTCGAGCGCTACGGAAGGCGAGTATTCCTCGGACAGCTCTGAAGGCCTCTTCCATCTTCCACGACACCGCAACGCCGCTCGCAGACGAGCGGACCCTCGATTCAATGCTAAAAAGCGGAAGACCAAGAGTGCTGCGAGTAAAGGGAAGGAAGCCATGATAGCAGTCGAAGGGTCGAGTACGATTCCGCGCCGCATACGCCGATTGCCTCGCCGTCGACTCACCGACGTTATTTACGACGCTACGAAGGCGCGCAACGCCCCGGACGGACTCAGTTCCAGCGGTGTCCGCGCCCTTCATATGCCCGTATGGCTACGCTCGTTGAACTCAGAACCTACGGACGGGCGACTGGACTCCGGCGCCGACATCACACTGCTGTCCGCGCAACACTACGAGTCCTGGCCCAAGGACGAACGCCCCATTCTGAAGGAAGGACCGCGAATGAAGTTATATCACCTCACAGGACAGACGAAGGTGTTGGGCTACGTTAGATTCCCTCTCTTTGCGGAAGCGGAAGACGGCAGCTGGGTGCGCTTCGAAGTCGAAGCCTACGTCGTGCAGGGCATGCAAGTTCCGTTGCTCCTCGGCGAGGACTTCCAGACCGCCTACGAGCTGGGCGTCCGACGATCAGCCTCCAGCAACTGTAAGATCGACGTCGGATCCTCGGGCAAGGTCCTCGCCGCGTCGTCAGCAAGGGATACCTCCCCTGGGTTCAAGATCCGTAGAGCCAATAACGCACGAACCTTCAGGCTGCCTAAAACTAAAGCAGGCGCGCGGGCTCGATCTAGGAGATTCCCTGGCGGGATGCCGGAGGTTACAGCCGCGCAAGACGTGGTTTTGGAGCCGCAAGCCGTCCATAACGTGCCGGTGACGGGACCGTTCGAAGGCCGCTCGGACTGGCTCGTTGAGAAGGTCGCCATAGGAGGGATGGACGCGTCCTTGATGGCGTCTCCCACCACCTGGATTGACGTCGCGGATGCTCGCATTCCCATCGCCAACCCTTCGAAGAGGCCGCAGTATATCAGGAAGGGCGATGTAGTCGGCTTGCTGCTCGACCCCGCTCGGGACATAGAGCGCGCGAGAACCGCGGAAGAGAAAACGCGGATGGCCGACGCGGCGGACAGGTTGAGCACTTGTATCGCGACAATGAAGGACCTGTCGACGTCTTCAGGCGCGACCGGAGAAGCGCCTTCTCGAGAGGCCAGGGAGGAACAATGGGGACCGAAAACGTCCGAGCTCCCCCCAGACCCCGAAGCCCTTCAGGACGTGGACATAGGTCCGGATGTCCCTGGCGATGTCCGACCCAAGCTACTGGAAGTCTTAAATCGCCACATAGACGCCTTCGGCATAGGAGGGAAATTAGGCGACGTTGACGCGCAAGTACCAGTTAATACGAAGCCCGACGCGACCCCCGTCAGCCTGCCCAACTACGCCGCTTCGCCAGCTAAGAGACAAATCATCGAGAATCAGGTGAACGAGTGGCTGGCGCATGAAGTCATCGAGGAGTCCTCTAGCCCTTGGGGCTTCCCAGTAGTGGTCGTATTTCGCAACGGAAAGGCACGATGCGTCATTGACTACCGCAAGTTGAACGAACGTACGATACCGGACGCGTTCCAGATTCCTCGGCAGGACGAGATTGTGCAGGCGCTCTCCGGAGCTACGGTCTTGTCTTCCTTCGACGCGCTAGCCGGGTTCACGCAGCTGCGGATGAAGGAAGAGGACAAGGAGAAGACCGCATTCCGCTGTCACTTGGGGCTCTTCCAGTTCAAACGGATGCCTTTTGGCTTGCGGAACGGTCCGTCCATATTCCAGCGGCTCATGCAGAATATACTGTCGCCCTACTTATGGCTATTCGCTCTGGTATACATCGACGATATTGTCGTCTACTCTAAGGGTTGGGACGAGCACCTCCTGCACCTGGACAAAGTCCTGGGCGCGATCGCGAAGGCGGGAATTACATTATCTCCGTCGAAATGCCACATCGGCTACCACAGCATCCTGCTGCTGGGACAAAAAGTCTCGCGCCTTGGACTGTCAACTCACGCGGAGAAAGTCGCGGCGATACTCGATCTCGAGCGCCCTACGAATGTGCACGATTTGCAAAAGTTTTTGGGGATGGTCGTATATTTCTCCTCATATATACCCTTCTACTCTTTTATCGCATCGCCGCTATTCGCGCTACTGAAGAAGGGAGTGAAATGGGTGTGGCGAGCCGAGCAGGACATCGCGTTCCAGCAATGCAAGGACGCGCTGGCATCGGCTCCTGTGCTCGGCCATCCGATAGCAGGGAAGCCTTATCGGCTGTACACGGACGCCTCCGACTATGCCATAGGCGCCGCGCTACAGCAGATCCAACCCATCCAAGTGCGCGACTTGCGAGGGACGACTACCTACGAGCGGTTGAAGGCTGCTTACGAAGGCGGCGCTACGCCGCCCAGACTCTTTGTCTCCTTCGACAAGGATATCGAGGCTGACGAGTATGAGATGGATTGGGGAACGACATTCGAGGAATCCACGGTGTTTGTCGAGCGTGTAATCGCCTATTGGAGTCGAACTCTTCAGCCAGCGGAACGAAACTATAGCGCCACAGAGCGCGAGGCGCTAGGAGCAAAGGAAGCCCTCGTCAAGTTTCAGCCATTTATCGAAGGCGAGAGAGTTGTCCTCATCACCGATCACTCGGCGCTGCAGTGGGCAAGGATCTACGAGAATACGAACAGGCGGTTAGCGGCCTGGGGGGCGGTGTACGCAGCATATCCCGGACTACGGATAGTGCATCGCCCGGGTCGCGTACATTCAAACGTAGACCCGCTATCCCGCCTACCGAGAGTCCCCGACAGCTGCTCGCCAGCCCGTGACGATCTACCGGCTATCGTACAAGAAAGAGCGAAGAGGGAGCAAGCCGAGAAGGCGGAGTTGCATAAGGCACACGCGCCAGCGGAGCGAGCAGCGTTCAGCGCACTGAGCTGGGATTCCTGGGAGGAGTTAGTCGATGCGAAAACCGCAATGGCTATCCGTACTCGCGCCGGCAGGAGGAAGGAGGAAGCTAGCGAGCTCGCGCGGACAACAGTACAGTCATCGCCAGCGGAGTCGAATGAACACAGCGCCGCCGCAAGGGAACTAGCAGAGGCGTTACCGCACGTCGGCAGGGACTACTGGACCTTTCCGGAAGGAGTTCGAGTGGAAGATGACGATGAATTGGGAGAGCGAGTAGAAGAAGCGCGAGCGCATCTGCTCCTACACATCGACCCTATACTGCTTAAGCAGTTCAAGGAGGGCTACGAAAAAGACGCATACTTCAGAGAACGTTATGCGGAGAGCGCGGACTCTCCCTCTAAGGCGCTCACGCCATCACACTTCCGGAGAAGTTCGAACGGACTGCTGTACTTCTTTAACGCCGACTGGGAAGCTAGGCTATGCGTGCCCCGCTCCATGGTCAACTTCGTGCTTACTTGGATTCACGAGGCGCGCGACGAAAGCGCGCACGGAGGGCCAGAGAGATCGTTGGAAAGGCTGCGAAGTCTGTTCTTCTGGCCGGACCTGCGCAAGGACGCGATAGCATTCGTACGAACATGCGACGTTTGTCAGAAGATCAAGACGGATCATACGCGAGCTATGGGAGGGCTACGCCCAGCACACATTCCGCGACGACCCTTCTCCACAATCTCGCTCGATCTGATAACGGGTTTGCCCCCCTCGGGTGAAGAGCAGTACACCGCCATACTAGTAATCGTCGACAAGTTGACGAAGTACGCGCTCTTCCTGCCTACGCACGACGAGTTGAACCGCGAAAACTTCGCGACGCTCTTCTTCAAGGAGGTCGTCAACCGATATGGTCTACCCGAGCGTCTGATCTCCGACCGCGACCCTCGATGGGCTACAGATTTCTGGAAATCGGTCGCCGCCCGTTACGGCGCTAAACTGGCGCTCTCTTCATCCCATCACCCGCAGACGGATGGCCAGACGGAGAACCTAAACCACACCCTAGAAACCATGCTACGGGCTTACGTCGCGCAAGACCGGACGCTCTGGGCTCAGTACCTGAGTGAGATGGCCTTTGCTTACAACTCGTCCAAGCACGGATCCACAGGGTACAGGCCCGACTTCTTGCTCATGGGCTACGAGCCGAAGCAAGTCGCCGGACTCATGCTACCGGACGGAGACCCCTCCGCAAGACCCTTCCTCCCGAGCATGCAAGCTGAATTATTTACCGCGCGACTCGAGCTTCATCGCCAACTTGCGCGAGACCATCTAGCACGCTCTCAGGACGATCAAGCGCGAAGCTACAACAAGAACAGGCGACCAGTCGATGAATTCAAGGAAGGGGACCTAGTGATGGTCAACCCGCACACCCTGCGACTCGTCGACGCGCAGGGTAAGGGCGTGAAGCTGGTACAAAGAACGATTGGCCCCTTCGAGGTTCTTCAGAAAATAAGCCCAGTCGCCTACCGCTTGCGGCTGCCCTCGAACTACCCGATGCACCCCGTACTAAATATCGAACATCTGCGCCGATACCGACCGTCGCCAGAGCAATTCGGCGAACGAACTCAACTACCCCCCACGCGCGATTTACTGGACGCGGACGAAGAATATGAAGTGGAAGCGATACTAGGTCATAAACTGACGCGTCGAAAGAAGGGCAACAACCGCATGGATCTCGTGCGGTGGCGAGGCTACGAGGCGTCGGAAGACTCATGGATATCTGAATACGACTTGCGAAATGCGCCGGAACTGAAGCAGGAGTATCATGCTCTTCGCCGGCTACCCCTGTAGACAGATGACTCAGCCACCGTGACCGTGGGAAGAAGGGACTATATTAACTGCCGCCACGTAATCATCGATCATTTCCTTCCTTCCTCCTACCTCCATCCTCTACCGTCGCTCGACTCAACAAGTCGACTACTATGTCTATCCGGGTGTTTTCCACGTCGCGCCTGGCGATTACAGCCGGCCTAGAAGTCGCGCCGATCCTATCGATCGGCCTACCTGTCATCCTGCCCGCCGATGCCATTGTGCGCGCCGTGCGTTGCTACGACCATGATAACTCCATCATCCTGCTATGGACGCCTAATCAGGCGGAGGTAGCGTACTGCCCAGGGAAGAATCTCAACCCGGGCGAGTCGACCTGGCCGCAGCAGCCAACTGATCTCGCTGCACGGCGGGTGGACGGCTCCTTCGGGCGATTCGATTACGCCATTTACGCCCAGAGCTGGACGCGCGCTACGTGTTGGGCCCCCGCTATGATCATCACGCCCGAAGGCGCGGACGGCCAGTACGAAACGCTGTCAGTTCTGCCCTGGTGGAGCGACAACCGTAACGCTCGAGGCGGACACGTGCAGGACGCCGCCTTGCTCGCTCTGAAGGCGCGTTTCCAAGCAGTCGCCGCAGCGTACGGCCCAGCGCGCGCGCGGCTTGCTTCTTCTAGTAGCTTCTACATCGGACCCGAACTTCTCAACGCTTTTCCATCGTTGCCCTCCCCAGATGACTGGCGGCACCTACTATTGTCTTTCCGGTTCGAAGAAGCGGTCGACTTGTGGGCTACCTATGTTCGGCAGCTTCGCAGCGTCGAAGCGGCTATCCACATGGCGAACGAGCTGTACGAGTACCAAGTCGCCGGCTGCCCCGCCGCTACTACCTGTCCGTCTAACGCGGCCCAGTCCAATCGCCTCGGTGTCTGGGCGAACGACGTCCCCCCGGAATGGTTACAGTTCTACCTATATGCGGGGTACAAGATCTATATCGCGCACAAGGCGGAGCAGGACGCCATGTATCCGCTCGACTACTGCACCATCACGAGTGAGGACTGGACGGAGGGCGACAATGTGCTGGAGATGGACCGCAACCAATGGGCGGAGGCTGCTCGTGAGGAAGGTTGGCGTCTGCGTTCGCCGCCCGCCAGCGCTTCCAGCGTTAGCGCAAGCATCGCCGTGCCCGCGAGCGAGTCGCCCTCCCGGGAAGCGTGGTCGGACCCTCGCAACTACGGTTATGTTATGGGTGGCGAGGAGCGCCGAGAGAGACTACTGCCCCCTGCCCCGGCGTCAACCACCGCCATCTCCCGATCGAATGAAGCGACTCCGTCGAGTACGGCCGTAACCACCGCTGATCAGGCGGCCGCTCCCCCTCCAGCCTACTCAACTCTACCCGACGCGCATGTCGCCACTATCGAAGGAGCTGACGGCGTCACGTACCGAATGCCACCGCGCGGCTCGCGCCTCTATCGATCAAGACTCGAACGAGTCGTTATCGACCCAGCTCATCATCCTTGGTTGCGACCGCCCCCGCGTCAGGAACTCGGTCGAGGGCGCTCCATGGAAGCGTTCATTCCCGTGGAAGTCACTATCAATGGGCAGGACCGGACAGTCTTCAGACGGATAGGCACGCGCAATTCGGCACGCGACGGGTTCATGCTTACGCAAGACTACGCGAATCGACGCAACATTTACTTGCCTCCCTCCTTCCGTCCTCCGGTCGGTACTGTCGACGAGGAACTATGGGGCTTCCCAGCTCCGGTCACTTTCTATTTCGACCTACCCAATGCGCAAAATGAATCCAACATCCTTCCCCCTTCGATTTGGCTCTACCCCGCCGACCGTGCCGCCCGACACCTCGCTCGCCCAGGCGCAGTTCCTCCCCGCCCCTCACCCAGTCAGCTTCCGCGACTACATGACGAGCTCAGGCGGCCCTTGTTAAACGAGAATCCGGAAGATTGCACGCTGCCCGTCCTCGCTGAAGGCGAGGACGACTACATGGACGAGGAGGATGGTGACTTCTACAGTATGCCAGTGGATGATGAGCGTCGAGACCCCTCTCCGCCCCCTTTGCCGCTTTATAGCGCTACTCCGCAGGCCGACGAAATGGTTGTCGAGAGTGATCACACTCCTACACAGAACGCACAGTCGAGCGCCAGCGCGCCTACACACTCTGCGACCGTACGCCGCAGTCCTCCCCCGGCAGCCCCCGCCAGCGTCAGGAGCCAACAGCTATCCGCGGGCGGCCACTCGCCACGACCCTTGGAGGCCGCGCCGCAGGACCACAGCCGAATGGCTCCCCCCGCCGCCCCTTCGCATCCTCCAGCCCCGTTGCCACGCACCGACGACGGCAGCTCCGCTGCGAGGCGCAACGAAGGGGATAGCGCGCCATCCTCTTCGCGCGATGCACGTCGGCAGCCGGGCGGCAGGCGAGACTCGGAGGATTCTCGCGCGAGAACGCGTGCGGAGGATGCCTCGAGGCGATCGACTTCGAGCTGGTCCCCCGCCCCCGCGAGTCGTAGCCGCCGGGACGACGACTCCGGCTGGGGTGCGAACGACCTGGAAGCGACCGCGGCGGACTGGCGCCTCGAACCAAGGCATTGGGCAGGTGTTCCCCCTACCGCCCCGCCCCCGACGTCCTCCGTTGCCACGCTACTCAGCAACGGATTTCTGGTCATACGGCACATCAATCGTTGGGTGCATGCGACAGATCTGGAAAACGCGATTCGTAGGCTGTTGGACTCGATGCCAGGGCCGCGCCCTCGCCTACTCACAGCGTACGGACGCAACGCGAGGCCGCAAACGGAGCAAGAGAGACGAGAGCGGCGGTCGTCGCCCTTCAATTTCTACCTGCAATTCGCTACTGAGGCGGAGGCGCAACGTGTCCGGCAGGCGATGGGGCACCCATGGCTGATCATGACCACGAACCGGCACGGTGAGGAGCGCGGCAACCGGGGCATATTCCGCGCCTACAACATCGACTTCGCGACATTCGACGAGTTCCGCGCGGTGCGGAGCGACCCCAACGCGTGGGTGTACCCTTGGCAGGGCCTGTACGACACCGCGTCCGCCCCCACCGTCAACCCCGCCGGATCCTTCGGCGGGCCCGCGACCACTGCACCTCCTCCCGCCTGGGGCAACCCCGCTGGATCGATCGGCGGTCCTCCCGTCACGGCGCCTTCCCCCGCGTGGCTCTCGCCGGCTCAGCAGGCCGCGTTCGGCGCCGCGCACGCGCACTCGACCTGGCCATTCGCCTCATCGCCCTTCCTGCCCACGGCAACCGTGAAACCATATCAGACGGGCGGACAGATGGGGCCGCCATTCGTCATGGTGCCAAGTGGGATGCTGGGAGCCATGTACCCACCTCCACCCCCGCCGCCGACGGCGACGCCCGCCACGCTGTCTACGGACCTCGCGAATCCGAACGCCAACACGTCGCGGTCGACATCGACTTCAGCAAGCCACTCGCCAGTGTCCACAGGTCGCTCGCTCGCATCAAGGCTGTCGTCGCCGTCGCCAGATCATGCAAGCATGTCCTTGTTGGACCGCATCAGCGACCGCGACTCGGACGCGAGCGACTCTCGTGGTCGTCGCAGGAGTCGTCCTCGCCGTCGTCGCGGCTACAGCCCACCGTCATACAATGAGCCAGGACCGAGCCGCAGGCGCTCTCCACCACCACCCCCCGCCGCCGCCATCTGCAAGCGCTTCAATCTAATGTCGCGGCCCACGGCCCTATTATTCGTCGAAGGCTCGTTGGCCTCTACAGACCATCCGGCCTCTTGGGGGGGCGTTGTGAGGGAGTACTACACATAGCATCGCATAGCTACTAACTGTATTACATGACTACTGTACAAGAGCCCGGAGCTCTGCGTAGACACGCGTCACACTTAGCGGGCCGCCGGGCCGGAAAGAATTCATTCTACTTCTTGATCTCTTACCGTCGTGATGACCGACCGCTAGCTCCTTCGCGTCCCGCTCAGCTCGCATAGCTGTAGCCCCTTGCCCGGGTACGGCCGCTCGCCTCGTACGGCGCCCTTGGCAGGGATACGCGCCCGCTGTCGGCAGCGACACCGACCCCTTGGCAGGGATACGCGCCCGCCCGCGCGATACCGCGGCCTAGCTCAGGAGGAGCCGTTAGCCGACGCAAGGCTACTCATCTTCACGCGGTCTCCTCGTAGCGAGATCGCCTAGGTGCGTGTCCCGCGCCTTCTTATTACTAACTACGGCGCAGAACACGATTCCGCCGACCTCTACCGAGGTTCCCACTACCTCGTACCCTTTAGACCTAAACGGACGCTCTCACATTCACGAGAGGGAGCGAGGGCCGCCTTTCCCGACCAAACCGAGGAGGGGGACTTCAACAGTCCCGCCGAGCCGACGACCGCCGACGACCAGGCTTCTGAGAAGGACCGTCAGCAGCGCGCTCTGTGCACGTAGTCGACAACGCACCAGAGCTCTCGTCCCTCCTCCTCCCCTTCCTCCTCCCCCTCCCCCTCGTCCTCCCTCTCCTCCCTCTCCTCCCTCTCCTCCCTCTAATCCCTCTCCTCCCCCTCCTCCCTCTCCTCCCCCTCCTCCCCCTCCTCCCCCTTCCCGGCCTTCTCCCCCTCCATCCCTTACCGATATCCGCGATGCCGTCTGTCGCGCAACGGCAGCCATCGACGACGGCCAGCCGGCCACGCTAGGCGCGCTCGCTGCAAGACCCGCCTCCTCTCAGCCCATCAGTCGTTATCAGAGAAGGGGCCGTGACACTCACCAGAGTCCCTGAGAAGACGCTTGCCCGGTGGATCCTCCTGCGAACCGGACAGCGAGGGGAGAAGGGGGAGCGCGGCTAGCTACGTCGCGCGATCGCTGAGCGTCCTTATTCAGCTGACCCCGCGAGTACAGCGTCGTCGGTGGTGCGCGTCGTCGTCGGCGGCGTCTTCCCTTGCATGCGAGACGGCGTAGACATCCGGACGTTAGCAGAAGAGATCAGCCTACGCTCCTCATCATCGGCTGAGCTGGCAGCCAGCCATCACCGGCACGGCGTCCTACGAGCCGAAATCTGCCTTTTTTGGTAAACACAATGCCATGCGGATATCATGTGACTGCCGTCACAGTCATTGTTCGACTTGTGACTTACCCTCGCATCTTGTCATCCGCTAGGAAGCCGGTTCCGTGAGTGCAATTCGATGCGAGGAATGTCTTGGAGTGTCTAAATTTTTGGTCTTGCGACTTTCAAGTGCGCATCGACATATGAACGTGGCTTTCCTATTCCTGATCGCGGTTCTGGGCTTGCTTGGAAGACGGTGAATCTCAACGCCTTCTCCATCTACATAAGCTTAGCGGCATCAATTCCTCTCAACTCTCGTCGCGTCTCCCCACCATTTACAGTCGTCATTATTGTCGCTGCCGCAACAAGCAAGCCCCCTGGCCTGGGGCATCAGCATTCACTGACCGCTAGGCTCGCGAGAACATGGGATGTAATACTTTAGTGTTATGCCACCGGCCTGACTGTAAGTCGATTATTCATACGCCGATGCCAATCTCGCTGTACTCTGCACTTCATGCTGCGTATATTCATGCCGGTCTTGCCCACCTGATGGGCTGCTTTCAATCCCACGGATATCCAGTCATGGTAGCAAGCATTACTTCGTGTAATTGAGAACCTGAGTCGCAGTGCAGTGGTAATCCATGTTTACATTGCTACGTTCTACGCTGGCCCCTTCCTCGTCGCACACTCCAACAAAGCTTCACTGAAAGTCGACGACAACGGCGCCACCTCGTATACGCATGTCTTGTATCTGATGAGACAGATATACCAGGATGGTTGTTAGTACGTACCGAGTAGGATTGTACCCCAAGGTAAACCAGCAAGCAAACAACGGCCGCCACGGGATAGACTAGCCAAGGATCGTATCGCGCAACCGCATTCTCGAGTGACCCGCGAGAAGGTTGATGGGTATCGACAGACTGCTCCTCACGTTTTGCTCTATAAAGAACAATCTGGGAAGGCTTTCCGGATCTTCCTCCAGCGATTGCTACGAGGTAAAGCTCTGGCGTCGAGCAAGCCTAAGTAAAAATCAGCCCGAGCTTCTCTCTAACAAGTGCGGCTCAATCACCGATGTGCGTTGGATAGGTCCACCGGGACATGACAACTTCTGTAGAACATCGCCACTGGCAATGCTGAAAACACAAGCATGGTTGTCATCGCTACCTCCCACAAAACAACGCTCGCGCTGGCACGAGGAAGCATGCTTGGGAAGTAGCGTCTTACAGACTCCGGTAGCGAATTTTCTGATAGACTGTCCATCGAGAAGGTTGATGAGCTCAAACTCACGACCCGTGTACACGATGCATTGGTCGGTTGAGGTGAGCATTTCTACAGAGGCCCTACATGTAATGTTAGCAAATTCTCTTTGAGCGTGTGGCGAGTACATACATGATACCTGGACCTTTGACCAAGTTGACAACAGACTTGCCCTCTTGATCAAGTCGCACGCTACAAGTTATATGGTCAGCACGGCCCTGAGTGACTTAGATGACAACTCACATAATACCGCCCTGATAACCAAAGACCAGAAGGTCCGGTGTTGGATCGTCTGACGTGAAAGACACATCACTTGACTGAGTGCATGAGGAGGATCTCGCGAAGTGAAGACTCTTGGGTATAAAGCCATTCTCATGGGGTTTGACCTCGAATAGAGCATTGGGCTCAAAGCCCCTGGACTTCAACTTGAGAACGCCTATGGAGCCGTCGTAGCATGCGACTGCGACTCTAGTATGATGGGAAGATGATGGAACAACGCTTCTCTCGATGGAGATGTGTGTGATTTCTTGCGGGAATTTGAATGGCGCTGAGACGTGGACAAGTTCCTGAAGACTCTATGAAGCGACGCCTGCAGATGTGTTCAAGTGACATACCTTGCATTCCCCTTCGAGGTGCCACAGACTAATCTCCCCTTCAAAGGATCCTGTCACAATAGCATAGACCCGTCTCTTCTCAAAGTACACCCAGGCCAGAGCCACGATTGTTTTACGTCCAGACCGACTCGGTGCTTTGACGGCGGGGAAGTGAGGCTGATCGAGTCGGCGTACGATCATTTTGGTACGGTCTGAGCTAATTGAGTATGATTCAAAGCATCTCCAAAGAACCTACCGGCTGCTGCGATAAAAGTACCGTCCGGGGAGAACGACAAAGCCGTCGCGGCATTGTTCAGACCGCAGAAGGAGACGAAACGCTCGTACGGGAGGTAGTGCTCAGAGGAAACGAGAGCGGAGGCTGTGACCTCTAGAACAGGCTTGTGGAGGGCCATAGTCATGACGTAGAAGCAGTTAGTTTTGTTGCACGAGATGCCGTCCCCTGAGAGCAAGCTATGAAGAAGTGCGAGGAGTACAAAGGCGTACAGACTGAGGCCTCGTGCCCGGTCCTTCGGTTGCCGGAGTGTCAGGCCGGACACGCGACCGCCTTCCTTCTAACCCACAGCTCGGTACGCCCGCTCTGCCTTTGCTCACTATATCATCTCCATCCATCAAGGGAACGACAGAAAGTCGATCGGGTCTATTGCGCTCAGCCGACTCTGCTCACATCCGCCATGGCCGACCCCACTTGCTTCAATCACATCGAGATCCTGTCGAGTGCCCATACAAATCACGACGATTGTACGCCCATAGATCTCAGGCCTATTCCGGCTGTCCAGGGTAATAGAAACAGGGAAAGGGATCGTGAAGCGAATCTCGCCCGCCCCGTTCGCAGATTTTCTCCAGCAGGCTCCGAATCCGATATAGAAGACAACGGTGGCGCCCCTTACCGGATCAAAGCAGCACCTATCAGACAGTGGAAGCCATATGAGCGAGTCAATCCAGGGCGCATTTGTGTCTCAACTCAAAATGCTCCATCGCGTACTACTCATGTGGGGGCCTATCGAGAGGCCATCGTAGTCCCGCATGAGGCGTCGGCGGGAAACTCGACTGAGGCAGCGACGGCATCTCGTACGGTCATTGCTGAGCCAAGAGAGAGATCCGCTATGGCTCCACGGCTTGCGATACCCACTCAGCTCGGTGTGGAGGGCGGCCTGCTCGCACGGCCTGACGGGCAAGCAGGGAGACCTAATAGAGGAGGCTTCACCTTAAAGAGCGCCTTGAACTGGGCAGAGTCAGACTACAAATATGTCAAGGTGAGCGTGGCCTTTTTTGTCATTCTGAACTGACCGTTTCCTAGGATTGGGTGCACAGGGAGGTTGACACGAACTTGTCGTGCCTACTGAAGTTCGGCGCTCAGGAGGAGGCGATGAGGGCGATTCGTGAGAAGGTATGGCACCGTTTTGTCATCCAGGTCATTAAGCGTATGCTTGACAGGTTAGGCACGATGCAAAGCTGGCTTTTCTGGAGCAATATGCAGACCACTGGCCGGTCGTAGAGCTGGCACGGGCAAGGCATACGTATAACAAGAGAACTATCATGAAGCAGATGGGAAGGGCAGCTTTGAATCGTGAGAGGGAAGGGCAGCTTTGACTTTCGAGAAGTACGACAATCTGTTGCTACCAAGTCCAGAAATATGGCGCTAATAATGATGACCAGAGGCAAAACCTACTACTTGGATCGATACATTGATCTGGCGGGTCTGCTCTGTACATAACATAGTAGGTGGCAAGCCACAGATTGCTCGCTGAGACCAAGCGAGCAACACTGAACACTCATGTGGAAGTCGTTGCACCGCACCCTAAATCACGCTTTGAGGTCCAAATTTCACGAGCGAGAGGGAAATGAGATGTTATGACTCCTGCCCTGCAACGACGAAGTTCACAGAGTCGTACCTGCGATCCCGCAGGCGGTAATGCTCTCGTTGGTATCGCCCCAAATGTGATTGCTGCGCATTGTCCTTCCTTCTCTAACGGTATCCTGAGCAGTACCCCAACAATTATGAGGCATGAGAAGGTGCTCGTTGTGGTCTATAGCGCCTTGAAGCTCCTTCACCGCATGTCTGCGGTGGGTGGGTGGTTGTGGGCGTGCGTCACGCCACCCACGCTGACGCGTGACCACGTCGCGCGCGCCTGCTGGCGCCCACGCTATGATGTCACTTTTCGCGATAACCCTTTGTGCTTGTTTGGTCGGGGAACCAGCCCTATGTATCGTGGGTTAGTCAGTGTTGCTCGCTCCGCCTTTCCCTCCCTCGCAAGCTCGGGGGGTCCCTTAGGCGTTGCTCGCAATGATTTTAGGTGGAGCAGAAGGCTCGCGCAGCATTAAGAAAGAGTGAGCGGTGGCAGGTTGTTGCCTTTCATTTGGACCTGTCACGTTTGCGTCGGCTCCGCATTTCCCGCGCTCTCGTGACTGGAACAGCCAGTTTGGCTATGTTATTGTCAGGCCTGATGGAGGCGGCTGAAGTCAGCCGTCGTCCAAGCCGTCGATGAAGAATCTCATGAAGAACGGCCCTTCACCCGAGCATAGCCTAACATGTTGATGCGACAGTCGAGGACAGAATGCGCCCGCTGCTTGGGTTCGAGTGTCGCTTGAGCGATCACGTTGGTTTTCGGGATGGAAAGTTGTGTTTGCTACTGACATGCATTACCGCCAAACCAGGTGGACTTTGTAGCGAACGTAAGTACGCCGGGGGGGGTGATAAGGGGGCGTATGAATAAGACTCGGCCGCCGTCCCAGGTGTAGAAATTATAGGCGAAGGCTAGATTAGTATGACCCGCACCAACGCTGAAGGCAAAGTGCCCACAACTATATAGTAGCACGATCTAGAACTTGTTGGCTCGACCAGTATTGGAAGGAGGGTCAACGTCCTTGTGTATACGGATACTCTGTGTGCTCCATTGCGAGATCGCTGGCTATATAGCTGCGATCCTGACGTCAACCTTGGGGCGCACTTTGTGACAAGAACACAGAACTTGACATGCCTTGCTTTAGTTAGTAGGACCGAACGGAAGGATGCAGGTCGAGTTGGTGCGGAGCTTAACGTCCTTCATGGGTAAGAGGTACTGGCCGTGGAGATTGAGTATCAGCGTCGGGGAGCTCTGGGACAGATCATTGATCAGCGACTGGATTGCGTAAGCCCGAGACGCATCGAGATGTGAGTATTTGCACTCACAAAGATCCTTGCCGTACCGCTACGTAGCAGATAATGGGAACGTGAGGTGCCTACAGAAAGCGACGTGAGACGCGGTCGCCGCTGCCGCCTGCGACGCAATAAGCAGTGGACGAGGAGGAGTGCCGGAGATGTACGCGTAGGGGAGCTATCAGATGCCGTTTTGCCTTCGACGATTCAAGGACAGGGACTTCCGCAGTCCCGCCGAGCCTACGACCACCGCCGATGAACCTACTGAGAGTCAGGATCAGCGGTCCCGCGGTCTGCGCACGCAGCTTAGAGCGCACCAGAGCCACCATGTCCCTCTATCCCCCTTCATCCCCTCCCGATATCTGCGACACCGCTTCTTTGAAAAGGGACGGAAGCCATTGGGGGCAATATGGAGCTGATCACCGGCAGATACGTTCGGCGTGCTCACTGTGAAGCTGCGTCCCCTGAGCCCAGAAATCACTCAGGAGGAGATGGATGTACTCACAATGTCCATGCGAAGCCAAGACACCATGTAGCGGACTCGATCGCGGGGTGATCATAGCAAGCCGCAGATCACTCCCGTCGGCTCACTAGCTACAGGTCGCACCTGACCCCGCCGTCGAGGCGTTAAGGATGAGCAGAGGGGGACGTTTGAGATGTACGGTCTTCACGAGAGGGAGCGGGGGCCGCCTCCCCCCGAGCAAGCCAAGGAGGGGAACTCCTGTCATCCCGAGCCGAGCCGACGCTCGCCGACGACCAGGCTACTGAGAATCAGGACTGTCAGCATCACGCTCTGCGCACGCAGTCGACAACGCACCAGAGCCCTCGCCCCTCCTCCCCCTCCTCCTCCCCTTCTCCCCTTCTCCTTCTTCCCCTCCCGATATCCGCGATACCGTCTATCAAGCGACGGCAGCCATCGACGACGACCGGCCGCGCTGGCTGCGGCACGCAAATCCTCTCAGCCCACCAGTCATCAGAGAGAGGGCTGGTACACTCACCAGAGTACCTGTAAGAACGCTTGTCCGGCGGATGAGAACCGCACAGCAAAAGGGAAGGAAAACGCGGCCGGCCGTGGGGCGGGGGTCTCTATTGCAGCTGATTCCTCATCGGTGACGCGTCTCGTCGCCGGCGGGGTCCTTCTGACATGCGAGACGGCGCTAAGTTGCGCGTAGAGACGGACTGTAGCAGAAGAGAGCAGCCGACGTTCCCCATAGTCGGCAGGCCGTCATAGGCCGTCGCCGGCATGGGTCGCCGAAATATGCCCTTTTTTGGTAAACGCATCAATGTCATGTGATCCTGACGATGAACAATGTTCAGCTTACTTTTTCTAACTCTGAGACGTGTCTATCCCACAACACTTCAAGAGGTCAAGGAGTAGTTTCGTCCACATATACCCGGCTTTTACTCAATTTGCGCCACTTCGTCCTCTTCAGCGCTACTGAGGGTACCAGCGCACCGCGACCTATCGAAGCGCTCGGCCTTACTTCCTCATGCCCTGCGTTCACCAATCTTGCGCTTGACTATGCAGTATTCTATTCACCTTCTCTACCTCTCATGCTTCGCCATTCTGAGTACCCCATGACCATCGTCCATGTCTCATCATTCCGCTTTTCTCATCGAACATGGCAGTCATCGGTGCCCTCGAGGGACCGCTTCGTCCGGCTAAAGGTCTACCGCTCCTCGTACCGGTCCCAGATGGTCTTCGGCAAGTATATTTTGACTGCGCAAGGTCAATGTTGATGCAATTCCAGCGAGTTGACAAGCATTCAAAGAGATATCGTTGCTACAAGGATTCTACGAGCATTCCAGGGCCGCGTAGCCTGGTACAATAACAAAGCGCGTTTACTAGAAGCTGAAGTTGAAGCTCCCACCGAACTGGAAGCGGAGTCCGCGCTCAGCATGCGACGGACCGGACGCCTTCGCCCGTTCCTTCCAATGCTCCGCATTGTCCGTGTTCTGGTGCGCAAGGCCAGGCCCCTCTCCATCCACAAGGGATCCGCCAGGGATCTCCGTCGGCTGATCATCATTCGGCGTAGGTCCCTTTCAATCACGTCAGTCGTCTACATGCTCGAGAGTCATAAGGGCTGACTTACAACTACCGCAGCGGCTTCGCCCGCAACAGTCTCATGAGCCACATCGTCAGAGATGATGGCTGTAACAGCGCGCTGGCCCTACGGCTTGTTAGTCAATGATACAATCAGCAACTTGCAATACTATGCCTGAGCCCGGAGTCCATCCTCTAGCTCATAGATGCGACGTTCGATAGTGTCTTCAAGGACCATCAAACCTAGGCTCCGCCTCTTTGCCAAGTCCACGCGCTCGCGAAGGCCGTCAACCAGATCGTCAAACCGCGACCACTCCTAATCACCTGATGAGCTGAGACATATCGTCAAGATTGAGCGCTTACAGCCGAGCACGAATGGTCCGCGGCACTTTTGTGTATCGCCATCGTGACCTGCATGTCCTATGAAAACGGTTGGTCAGCTTCCAGGGAAGCGGAAGCCTTGCGCATACCTGTGCTTGAGAGTCAAGGACCTTCAGAGCGTCTGTGATCAGGGACCTTGGGTTTTGGATGGGAGCTATCGTAGCCCCACGAATTGTCGGTTGCGGGAGGTCATCAGCGGTCGCCTGGCCATGATCAATGTCGAGCGCCGATTCGGCGTTGCGCGCCTGAGAGGGCGACACAGGTTCTCTCGCGCCAGAGACTGAGTTGGTAAACATTGAAGGAGGGCAATAGAGGTGCTCGATGCCCTTATCGCGAGTATAGCATCTCTTATATGCAGATCAGCGCCCACAATGGGCGGGTGATGTGCAACCACCAACGTCTGTGCTTAACTTGGCCTTGAAGTGATTTCAAGAAGAAAAGTTCACAGATCATGCATTGTGGTGATGATAGAGATTATAGATCACAAACACGAGCCCTGCCGTGGCACTCAAAGAGTGACTGGGCGCGCGGCATTTGCGGAGGCACGACTCGCAGACCTAACATGCGGCTGCATGTGTCTGCCATTGTCAGTCCAGTCTTCCATTGTGGGATCATGAAGTTCGGGCTTCCGTGACCAGCTTGCGCAGCCATCGATTAGCCCTGAAACCCTCATGAACTTTGACCCACATCCAGTTTCTCAAAGACTTGCGACTGCATGAACGTCCTGTGAAGCGCAGTCCTGTGATCTCAGAAATTTGAACCAATCGCAGTCGTTGAATGGATGGGCAACAATGGAGACAGTCGAGGTAGTTTGTGACACCCGAGTCGGATATATAAGGTCCTCGTTGGCGATATGAGGCGAAACGGGCAGAATGGCAGGGCGTTCACCGTCTCGTCCCTCTATCCGCGGCCAACGCACTACACCGTACCCAGATTCATCATCGAGACGCTCGAAGGTATGCCTCTCCTCGACCGGCAGATAACTTCAGCTGGACCTGCCTTCGAACCAGAACCCTTTGAGAAACGCAGACACCATCTCTGGGGTGAACAACGTGCAGTCGAATGAAGTCTCTTCCGGTGACACCACGAGCAATCTCGCTGATGACCGGGTAAGTTGGACTTGATGCTTCCTTGGGCCATACCTCATGTCGTACATCCAGAATCGTGTTGATGCTGCCGCAGCAAACCAGGCAGGGGATATAGTTGTACGGGATCATGCCGTGAGTGATGAACGAGTAGGGCTGAGCGCACTTTCACCGTCGTGCAGGACCGCGAGGCGTGCAAGCAAGCTTTCGAAGGACTCTTGGACAGATACCTGACATGCGACGTCTGCACATTGTTGAACGCGCAGCCCTGCGTGTAGGTCCATCGCTCCCCGATCCTTTCGCGGCTAAGCTCTGACACAGAACTCCATGCGGCCACATTGCCTGTAACCGCTGTTTGGTCATTTTTGCAAAGAAGCAGGTGAATGCTGGCATTCAACCTACATGTATGTCGTGCCGGGCACCCATTAACACGCCGCCCGTACTATGCCTGTCGCTTCGACGGAAGGTCGAACAATTCGGGGCCAAGACTGGCATTCCTATACCCGCAATCAAGAAGTACTCGTGGCCCAAGCGAAAGCGCGGATAGAAGAAATTACATACTACTTTCACAACAATAGACATATGGATTTCTTTGGTCATGAGAAGTATCATCTTATCTACTCAATGGAAACGAGAGGGCGGAAGGAGGAACCATACTGGGCTGCGAATGAGTTAGCGAAGTGTTATGAAGAAGCCACGCACCTGTTGCGCGCGATCCGGCGGGATGAGCTACGAAGACCCTGGCGTATAATATTTTCAGTGTCATGCGCTGGCGCCGGCGAGTGAACATGAATGACTCACATGTAGCCCTCACGCGATGGCGCGCAGCAAAGGGTATGCTGTCGATGCGCGCACTGGAGGAACTGAGCACAGCGAGCACGGCCGGCCTTTGTGGCTGAGGGAGTGGTGAGATCAGTAGAGAACAAGGAATGCGGGCATCACTCTCATCTGAATCGGAGTATCGTCTGCAGAACGCAAGATGGATAGCTGACGGAGTAGTCAACGGGCAGACGGAATGGAGCGAAATGCGAGGACGTACCGTGCACTCCGCAGATCGCCTTCGCAAAGTCAATGGCAACAAGCCGCCACCGCCCGGGACGCGCTACGTATCGGTAGTGACAAGGGCTAACATGTACGACGTGTAGGAGAAGGAGCGGTCGTCATCTGCACCAAAGCAAGCCAAGGAGGGGGACGCCTGCCATCCCGCCGAGCCGAGCCTACGCCTGCCGTCGACCAGACTACTGAAATCAGGACCGTCAGCCTCGCGCTCTGCGCACGCAGTCGAGAACGCACCGAAGCCCACCATCCCTCACCACCCCTCTCGATATCCGCGTCCGCGCTTGTCGCGCAACGGTGTCCATCGACGGCAACTTGAGGCTGAGCACCGGCGGATTGCGCTCGCTGCGGAAGCCGCATTCCCTGAGCCCAGAGATCATCGAAGAGGAGATAGATGTGCTCACCGTATCCCTGCAAACACACCATGTAGCGGGCTCGATCACGGGGTGACCATGGCAAGTCGTAGATCACTTCCGTCGGCTCAGTAGCTATAGGTCGCACTTGATCCCGCCGCGGAAGCATTAAGCATGAGTAGAGCGGGGTTTTCGAGATGTACGGTCTTCACGAGAGGGAGCGAGGGCCGCCTTTCCCGACCAAACCGAGGAGGGGGACTTCAACAGTCCCGCCGAGCCGACGACCGCCGACGACCAGGCTTCTGAGAAGGACCGTCAGCAGCGCGCTCTGTGCACGTAGTCGACAACGCACCAGAGCTCTCGTCCCTCCTCCTCCCCTTCCTCCTCCCCCTCCCCCTCGTCCTCCCTCTCCTCCCTCTCCTCCCTCTCCTCCCTCTAATCCCTCTCCTCCCCCTCCATCCCTTACCGATATCCGCGATGCCGTCTGTCGCGCAACGGCAGCCATCGACGACGGCCAGCCGGCCACGCTAGGCGCGCT